CAATTTGAGACTGCATAACATCAGGGCATATCGAGCGACCGAGCGCGCCTTGCCTTGGCTGCCATTCTTCTGATGAACTGCGACGCCCAGCGGCATAAGCAGATATTGACAACAGAAACACACAAAAAAGACAGAAGAACAGGCAAAAACGTTTCTCTTAAGGATACGCACAACAGAATGAAAAGTACTCGAGAAGTAAATACTTTTGACCGAAATAGTTAAAAATTGAATCATTCATTCATTCATTCAGTAGCATGTCCTTCGCGGAACCTCGCTGCCATAACAACCCTCCGGAAAACCTTCCTATCCTGAGCAAGATGTCCTGCGTCTGATACACCCATCTGGAGATCATCTGCCACATCCTGCACCCATCTTCTCCTTGGCCTTCCTCTTCCTCTCTTCCCAGGCATATACCACTCCATTATTGTTCTCTCTAGACTTCCATGACGTTTCAAGTGACCAAAATATCTCAATTTTCTTTGTTTTATTGTCTTTACTAGCCAACCCTCTTCAATATTCAGCTCTTGAAGTATGGATGCATTTGTTCTTTTCTTTACCCAAGATATTCTTAGAACCTGTCTGTAACATTTATATTCAAATGCATTTATGCGCTGTTCCGCTTGTTTAGTAAGTGTCCAGGTCTCACAGGCGTATGTTGCAATGGGAAAGATGCATGCTCCTAAAAATCTGACCTTTGTAATTCTATCTGTACAATTCGATAATTTATTCAGTTGTTTTAGTCTTTGAAGAGCAATTGATAGTCGCCGTTTAATTTATTTCATTGTGTCACCATTGTTGGTAACCAGTGACCCAAGATATTCGAAATTTTCCACCACTTCCAATCTTTCCTCATTAACATATATTTTTAAAAAAAAATTGAATCAGTTGTTTTAAATTTCCACCACTGCTTTCAGTTGTATGTGTTTACACGAAACCCATTAACACAGTAACGGAGAATTTTAGTTTCTTTTGTTCCAGCGATAAGACCGGAAGTGTTTTACAGATTCGGTAATTTGGCTTATGTCTACAGAGGCTTCTGCGGTGGCCGAGGACCTCACCCGACAACACAATTGGGAATTCTCACAGCTGAGATACGTTGTAAACAGATTGCATCACTTACTGCAAACTAGTGTTAACAACTTTCCAAAACAATTTTTTTTTAAACTGGATTTGAACCCAAGACTTTCGGACACATAAACTTGTAATGTTTCTATTCTGATACCACATCTATGGTCATGCATAAATGTAAAACATGTGGTTTTAATGATCATCATCATCATGTAACATCTGCCCTTTGCAGAATGTCGCTTTATCACGGTATCTTGCCAACTGTCCCGCTTCGTGAACTTTCATGACCATGGTGTCATTGATCTCCTTTGTCCTAGCTCATGCTGGTCGACCTCTGCCTTTTCTCCCAGAAACCACACAGTCCATTACTGTTCTCTCCAAAATGCCTAGAATAATCGCAATTGTCTTGTATAACTTTTTTTTTTTTTTTCAATTCCAGTGTGTTAAACGTCAGAAGCCCAGGGATTGGTAAAGTGGAAAAATAAATCGGCACATCTTGCGTTCATTGGGCATTTAGTTAAGAAACTATGAACATTGTGACAGAAAGAGTTAAACATCGTGTTTTGATGGTAGTGTATTATCACCACCCACCAAGAAACACACGGAGACACAAATGCAAAAACAGGCGATCACATTTTTCCACAAACATCCTATATTTTCTAGATCCACAATAATTAACGACTAGTTCGTCATCAAGTGCCGGCACGGGCGATTATGCCGCTTCACAACCTACGATCTTCAGCAACAGGAATCAACTCGTGTGCTGACACCCCTCCATATCATGCCAAAAATCTGTCAAGAATATTTTCTCGGTTTCTTCCTCTGCCTCTCTTTTTAAAGATTTTTTCAGTGGTCACAATATGTTCCACTTTCCGTCTTCACCTAACATGACCCAAAATTTATTATTGTCTTTTTTTCTAATGTATAGGAAAAGTTGTCTTCGATGATTCATCTCTTTCAAAACAGCTAGGTGGATCTTTTTAAATGAATTCTTATCTGAAGCCTAATAAATTGTTGGATTTGTTTATTTATTTCCCAGGATTAGCAGTCATTAAAAAACAGTCCACACAAATCCAAACAGATGTCCTAGAAAGGATATGCAAGTAACTTTTGTTCCTGCGTTCTATTGCTAATCGCGTTTTGTGTTTCTCTGGCCCCCTTTTACCATTGCTCTTACTAACAAACAATACTACCATTACCCAGTAATTCCATGGTTGTCACAACTTTCTCAGATCACATGGTCACAAGTTGTAAGGATTCATATTGATTATATATTGATTACATTAACTTTAAGAATATTTCGGATACATTTAATAATCTACTTCTACAGTTTACTTATTTATATCCCACATTCTCAGTGTAATGTATCAACATGAAGACAATGTTAAAAGGAATACTCTGGTGACGCAAAGTGTAATGTGTCATTGCTCGGATGAGAATCTTTAATGTACTACTGCCAGACACCCTGTTCAACCGTGAGGTTATACTGGGGTCCCATCCAGGTTACAATGTAACCTGAACTCCGGGCAGGGATGGGCAGTTGAATAATGTACTGTGTGTTAACGAAATGCTTCTTTTTAAAGTAGTTTTTGCTGTAACATGGGAGTGGGATTTGTAAAAATGAAGGTGGGGGAGTGAGGGTGGACAAAGATGACGCAGTGGTCTGTTGGTCCGAACGTCTTGGGTTTAAATCCATTTTTTTTTTAATTATATTGGAAAGTTGTTAATGATAGTTTGCAGGGAGTGAAACAATCTGTTGACAATCCCCAGAGAATCTGTGAGAATTCCCAATTGTGTTGTCGGGTGAGGTCTTCGGGCACTGCAGAAATCTCTGTAGAAATAAGGCAAATTACCGAATCTCTAAAACACTTCCAGTTTTATCGGCGGAACAAAAGAAACTGAAATTTTCTGTAACTGTGTCATGGGTTTTGTGTAAATATACACAACTGAAAGCAATGATGCATTTTTTTTTTTTAAAGGTTTTAGCGCAAAACAGCTGATAGATGTTTAACTGTTTCGGTCAAAGGCAATACTTTTGATCCTGTTGTGCCCATCCTTGACAGAAACAACTTTGTTTAATAATATGTTTAAAATGATATAATCTATGAGTCATTGAGATTTAAATTAACGTTTGGGGTTCTGTTAGTTAATGTAATAGAGAACTGGAGAGAGGACGTTCGGAAAAGGTACCATCCATCTATAATCCGACAAAATTGTAACGCCGCAGATGACTTTACAGTTTTACCGTCTTATAGATGAATTTTGATGTATTGCTTTTAAAAAAAAATGGCAATTTGTTTTGTTTTGGCCGTAAAAAAAATAGTCAATACTTAGTTCTAAAGAATGTACCATTGGCATCGTTGACATCTTAATTTTGAAAAGCCAGAGAAAGTCGTACCGTTAGGGTGAAGCATGGAACTAAGAGTAAACAATAATTCAGTGTGAAACATAAAAAAGTACTCTTGAAACACAGCTGAATATATAAGGTAAATTCATAAAGAGCGTTTTTGTCATGGCCATAATAACATCAGTCTCATTACTTATTTGGCTGACTGTGTAAAACCCTCGATAGTGGCGGGCTCCCTCTTTTGGCTATTATCTACCAGTAAAGCATGGTTCCATAAACTGCTTACGCAAAACCCCCGCATCTAAATTGTTTTATACAGCTCCTTGCAACCCCTCCTTATAGTTGTTTATTTTATTTCTGATTTTAAATATATTTCCGTAGGGTGAAGATTTTCCACTATATCTTTTGCCCTGTGTGTTCCAGGGGAAGGACTTTCTAAATATTCAATAAATATATTTTTATCTCATTATGAAAAGGAAAAATCTAGAAAATGTTAAACAAGAAATAACTAGATATATTTATGAATAGGAAGTGACAGCGGGACAGGATTGTTGACAGCCTTTTGCCATGTCAGAGAAACATGTCAGTTTACGAACTGATACCTGCTGTTTGAGGTCGTACGATTTGAAGAAGAGTGATCTCACACTCAAGTCTAAGAGGTACCAGGTAGTGTCTTCGGATTACCACCTCATACAATTATAATTTGTCTTTCTGTTTGATGAGTCAACTGATAAAAGATTGTTAAGATGTTTCACTAATCTGGTCTTTGCGGGTGCAACTAATCAAAACTGTCGAAACTGTTATCTACGGGAGTCAGGTTTAAGGGAATTTCTCAAGAACAGTAATACCCATTACATTAAGTGGGAAATGGGCTGATATGAGATGTCAACAAAGCAGAGGGTATTTTCTCTAGAGCTAAGTATTGACTAGTTTCCGAAACCTGGAGTCTCTCATTGTCTACGTGAGAGAGAAAAACCATAACAGATCGGTCCTGGGGAATACCTCCAGCTTGATATGCCAGTGTATAACATGTTCTATCAAAAATCCTGTTTCTTATTGCACTATGTTTCTGGGACCACCCTCTTCCCACACGTGTGCTTAAAATAGGATATTCGAACACTATATAAGTGTTCAAAACAGATGGTTTGAACAATATTTTATTGCAAACTCAAAGAGAAAAGTAAATTATACATTTCTAGCTTTGTAAACGTGAAAATGGCCTCACATATTAAAGGTATAACTCATTGCTTTTTTTTTTTATTATTATTAACTGAGAAATTTTAACAAATTTTGCAAAGCGCATTATCATTATACTTTCTTTAGCAGACAATGACACGGTTTAACGAAAATGATCAGCTTTATAAGTAGACTTCTTTGTACAAGAAAAAAAAAGTGCCGCTTCTGGTTTTCCTACAGGCAAATTAAAATCATCATCATCGTCATATACCACTGCTGCCGTTAAGTGCTGTGGGGAGGAATAATTTGCGATCCAGTGCACGTTGGCTGCCACTGGTGACCAAATTATGATTTACCTTTAACGAGTTATCTATGAAAGTTGTACTCAAATAACAGCTATGGTTTTGAAATGTTTAGTGTCCGAATAAATGTGTATACATCTGAGAAAATATTGTATTATCAATGCATACATGCTTAACAGTAGTTAAGAATTTCATAAAACAGATAATAAACACTTGGCTTAGTAAAATGATATATAGTTTTATAGATTAAAAAGAGCTACTAGCATATATCATTGAACGAAATAATCACACATTTGAATGGAGGCGGGTGATATAAAAAATACTGAAAATCTCTGGATAGGAATGCTAAAGAAGAAGCAGAAGAACTGAACGAAACCCGAAGCTGAAATAGCTTGAAAACCCCAAGATAAGCCCTCCATACAATTTACTGGGTTTCATTTCCAAAAAGGTCACGCATGACCTATATTCTGTGACCTGTTTCGGTTATTCAGTTTAGTTACACACTGACCTAAATATTAATTCCTAAAATTATAACTTGACTTCTTCAACATTCTTGCAGAATTGTTAGTGCTCCTGCTGATAACACTGTCTGCCGTATCGCCTGCTGCTGTAGGCAGGTCTTCCACCATTGACAACCCTTGCCAGGTTGACGCAACCAGCACCGGGACACCAAAGTACTTGCCGATAAAGGAACAAATTGAGCTAACGATAACGGCAGCGAACACTACATATACTATGTGTCAACGGTTTAAAGAAGCACTGGTATGTATGTTATAATGCTCATGACTAGTGTATACTAATTTATTTATTTATTTATTTTTAGTAAAGGACCCTTCAACACGTCTTAAGGCGTACTGTGTATATAGGTCTAGACCTTTATTGTAAAGGCCAATCGGCATCCGTTGATCGCATGAGCCGCTTTTACTTTACGGGACTTCGTACCCTGGTACCCAATTAAGGCTGAAGTGGCCTAGCAGTCAAGGTCACTTTTGAAGAAGAAATAAAAAGTATACTAATTGCCTTACTTTTGCTATTAGAATGGCACCAAAGTTCAAGAATGTTTGAAGGCAAAGCAATCGACTTCGTTGCCCGGATTCTGTCCCATATGAAACTGTCTTTCTCTACTGAATAGCTGGGCGAGTCTTAAAAAAGCACTAACATTTGTAGCTGCAGCGACAACCCACAGGGATCTCTGAAACACCTGTTGGTTCGAAACCAAAACACAACCTTTCCCTTGTGGTGCAAATTGTCTAGCAACTTGGCCACGAAGATCAAATCCACTCAACCCCTTCTTCGTTAGAGAACTTATGGTTAGTTGCGAATCCTTTGCAGAACGTTGCAGAAGCAACCCTAGCAACCCCTGGCTGTTGTGTGGTTTTTCTAGGCAAGTTTACGTCCAGTAGTTTGCCATTGTTTTCTGCACGGTCGGCCCCCTGATACCACTGTCGAAACCAACGCAAGGCGCATGGCCCGCAGCACCCCGGCATTACGAAGCGTTCGCCTCGACTTGGCCACAGAGCCGTCATAAGAAAACTTAGGTTTCTGGAAAAGTGCCACTGGATCCTCTACTACACAGGTTTCATGTGTCATTACAGGGTGCTGATATTTTCTTTAAGTCTAACATGCCATATAAGACGCTAGTGTAAAACAGGGCCTCTACTTTACCTGTTTTTATTCCCCTCGCAGAGAACTGTGCTGACGCTCAATGAAACAAACCAGTTGGATTCCCCTATACACAACATTCCTGGCCTATCTTTGGCATGCAACGATTCAGCCCTAAGTGCAGCTAATGTAAGTTTGACATTTCATTTGAATACACGCCACATTGACTGCTAGTATATTGACCGGTGTAATAGTATATAACAGATTGTTGGTGTGACTAACCGTATTACCGGGCAATTCTCCTGAAAAGATATAAAACTAAACGTAAAGTATATCAGCAAGCTTCACAATTTAACGAACACAAACAAAATGTGAACGTTGCGGCTATGGAGCCTTTATCAGTATATACATAAATAAAACAATACCACACAAAATCACTTAGATAGTATCTCGAAACAGCCAGGTCGATGTCTTGTCCTAACCGTATTAGTGGGTAATTCTCATGTTCTAAATCCGTTGCTGTAGTCAATCTTAACTATAGTTCATGTCCAGTGTAACAATATGTATATATATATCTGTCATCTACAAATAAGGCTAATTTAACTATATACTAAACATTATGTATATCTTATATAAATAAATAGGTTTAATGCCATTTATCAAGTGACTAACTATAGTATAGATTATTTTCTTTTGTCTGTTTTATGTTCTGGTTTTGAGTCAAGTAACAGTTTTTTGTTTTTTTTTATTAAGAATTTGGTCCACGCCATCAGGCGTGTTGGGAATATAGGGATAGGCCTATATTTGTATAGACCAATCGGCACTTGGTGGGTGATGTGGTCAGCATGACGCCGGCCGCCTTTACTCATGCACCTGGTACCCATTCAAGGCTGGGTCGACCTGGGAGTCAATGTCCTTTCGAATAAAAGTCCGGCTCCGTCAGGACTCGAACATATATATATATATGTGTGTGTATATATATATATATATATATATATATATATATATATATATATATATATATATATATATATATATATATATATATATATATATATGTGTGTGTGTGTGTGTGTGTATATGTGTATATGTATATATATATATATATATATATATATATATATATATATATGTATATGTATATGTATATATATATATATATATATATATATATATATATATATATATATATATATATATATATATATATATATATAACATATACATAATATATATATATATATATAAACATTAATATCAATAAACCGTTCAGAAATAACTCAGTATTATTTAAATAATTGTATGCTGGAACTTAAGACACCAGTACCATTAGTCAATGGATGGCATGTGTTATGAATGCTCTTGTGTTGTTGTTGTTGTTATCTTTTTACTTTTACTATTTTTGGTAACAATATGCATAGTTCGTGCATTTTGGTTAATGCTAGTAAGATTCACTAACATAAAATATAGTCTGCTTCTACTAATTTTTATACTATACCGAAGTCATATTAACTGTTTCGGTACCAACCTAAAATTGCTTTAACCCCTAATACCCTAAGAGTTTCTGGATGAAAGTAGCCAATGGATCGGTCCAAAGAAGTTAAAATAAAACCCATTGGCAGAGAGACTAAAATCAACAACTCATCTTAGTGAGCTATTGCAAGAAATATTTGCGATAAAAGAAGTGACAGAACTGAATAGTCTTTAAAATATTTAATGAAGGCATGATGAATTGCAAGGTACCGAAAGAGTTAAATGAGAATTATCTTCCAAAATCTTTACGGTGCATCTTTTTTTTTACATGTAGCTGTATGTTTCTTTTGCTTTTTTTCATATCGCAGGTTTTTGCCAGAACTTTGAGGCGCAACTCTTTAAACATTACTATATTATATAACCTGCTCGAACAGGTGTTAGCTAGTGACCATTTTGACACCTTTCAGCAGCAGTTACGAAATGTTACGTTAGCAACTTTGGCAGTAAAATGTAGAGTAATGATAACTAGCCAGGTGCTAGTTTCTAATTTCACAATAGAAGAGTCGCAGACAAATAATGAAACTACGATCTCTGACTATAAAGAATTTGAAAATCTTAACGAAGCTATTAATCGAAGATCATTGCCTATAGTTGACGAGAAGAGCTCGTTTGATGTAGGATACACTGTCGCCCGCTATATGCAGCTGATGATGAGTAATTTGAATCAAGCTCTCAAGGATGGAAAAAGTTTACTGGAGCATCTATAGGTACTTTTTATTTCACCCAATTGAACATCGCGAATACCCAGCGACCTTACCTTCCTGCATGGACATTGGTGCTGCTTGACCCATCGTGTTCCTTGCTGATCCTGATGCATGTTTCCTCTTGCTTGAAAGCTTTATATTATTGTGCAAGCCCAGGCCCTCATTTTCACGAGAAAGATATAAACCCGAAAGAAAAGTATATCAGCGAGCTTCACAATATAACGAAACACAAACAAAACGTGAACGTTGCAGCTATGAAGCCTTCTTCAGCACATACATAAATTAAACAAAACTACACAATCACACAATAACACTTATCTTCGTATCTCGTGGTAGCCAGGTCGATGTCAAAACAATTGTCCTCATTTTCAAGGCACAGTTTAGTAATTAAAGTGCAGGAAAATTCTCAGTCATTTGTCATTTGTGCTAGATCAAATTTGTGATCGTCCTGTCTGCACTCAGCCGGTGAACTTGTAAAAATCACAACTTCCTTTACTTCAGAGGACGTTTTGAGTTGGGTCGACCAGGGAGTCTGAGCTAAATTTTAAAATTCTCACTGAAGAGGATTCGAATGAAAGGCATTCGGCTCAGCAGGCAGAGTCTAGCCACTGCACTGTGGCGGCTCATTACAGGATATCTGTAGCTATAACAATGATGCACTGCTGACAAACGCTATAATCCTCTTTTGACATGTGCGGATGAATACCCCTTTTTACAGTCTATGTTATTATCATAACACCAAAGATGCCAGAAGCTGGGAGCTCCTAAGCCTTGCTCCTCATCCACGTCCGCCCCCCCCCCCCATCCCACCCCCACCCCCCCCCCCCCCCCCCACCACAAAAATTATTATTTTCAAGCATAAGGATGCTGAGCCCTTTCTCATCCTTGAATTTATAAGGAATAAAATGCCCAAATCCCCCCCCCCCCCCAGTACCTCCTCTCACACTCTACCTATAGATATTCTCTTTCGAAGTATTTTTATAAATTTCATTCCAAATATATTATTGTTTTCATCTGCAATTCAACACACAATAATAATTAGTATTATTAATATCAGTGCTATTTTACGTACGTAAGCGAGAATTTATGGCTTCTCTGACCGGTCTGATATACCTGCCAAAACAGCTCTCACATGGACACCAGAGGGAAAGAGAAAACAGGGGCGCTCAAAAACAACATGGAGACGAACGATGGAAAGTGACCTGAGTGCGGCATCTTTGACATGGAAAACTGCACTGAAGATTGCACAGGACTGGAAAGCATGGAAAGTCCTCTCTGAAGCCTCATGTGCCACTAGGCATAACGAGAACTGATGATGATGATGATGACCGGTCTCTAGAAAATTATAAGAGAATTCCCCCCCCCCCCCCCAACTCCCAGGCCGCACCGCCCCCTCGAGATTATTAAGGGGGGGGAGGTACATTATGCAAACTTGAATGTAAATTTATATTGTCACTTTTAATATTGCTTGCAGATAGACATGTTGTTATAAAATGTTATACTGCTTGGCTTATTCGTTCATTGCCACCTCGCTTGTTCAGTTATGTATTTTATGATTTTTTTTTTTTCAACGATCATACTTCATTATCATTTCGCCTAACTCGGTTTGACAGTTTAACTTCTATTCAGTATTGCAGATGTGGTAAGTGGCATAATCCTCACACCTTTATTCACCCACTGATACACACATTCTGCTTCATGCATGCGATACCTCCATCCCTACAAATATATGTTTTACTCTGGATTTGGTTGTTTAATTGTGTTTATACCTAGTTATGATTGCGTTCGTATGAAGTATTAGCAATTATTTGAACCCCGTTTATGTCGTAGTAATTTAAAAAGTAGTGAACTTTGAATAAAAGAGGGCCTGCTTATCATTACATGATGCAAAGGCTGTTCCTGAATGTTGAAAAACTTATTCAAACTTTCATAAAGAAGCTCAAAGAACGGGGATTTAGTTTCTTTCGTTAGAAGGATGCCGAACAGGGGAGCTTTCATTTAAAAATACTTGCATAGTACGGTAACAAATTTGTATCCAAGGCACCAGTGACAGGCTGGGCACTAATGACGCAGCAATACAGGCGAACCGTTGTCCAAGCATACGTTCGCTAGCTACAGAACATTTGATGAGTCAGGTCGGTACAGCAGGCTGTTCGTAAGAAACAGCAACGCCCAAACGTTTGTTCAAAGTGGTTCATCACAGTAATATTATTGATTTAAAATAGCATTGAACAAATGTATCAATTAACTTTAGACTACACACCTTTTCTTTAATGCCATCTGTAAAATCTGTAAAAGTCAAAATTAATATTTGGTAAACTTTATCTATCTATCTATCTATCTATCTATCTATCTATCTATCTATCTATCTATCTATCTATCTATCTATCTATCTATCTATCTATCTATCTATCTATCTATCTATCTATCTATCTATCTATCTATTTATCTATCTATCTATCTATCTATCTATCTATCTATCTATCTATCTATCTATCTATCTATCTATCTATCTATCTATCTATCTATCTATCTATCTATCTATCTATCTATCTATCTATCTATCTATCTATCTATCTATCTATCTATCTATCTATCTATCTATCTATCTATCTATCTATCTATCTATCTATCTATCTATCTATCTATCTATCTATCTATCTATCTATCTATCTATCTATCTATCTATCTATCTATCTATCTATCTATCTATCTATCTATCTATCTATCTATCTATCTATCTATCTATCTATCTATCTATCTATCTATCTATCTATCTATCTATCTATCTATCTATCTATCTATCTATCTATCTATCTATCTATCTATCTATCTATCTATCTATCTATCTATCTATCTATCTATCTATCTATCTATCTATCTATCTATCTATCTATCTATCTATCTATCTATCTATCTATCTATCTATCTATCTATCTATCTATCTATCTATCTATCTATCTATCTATCTATCTATCTATCTATCTATCTATCTATCTATCTATCTATCTATCTATCTATCTATCTATCTATCTATCTATCTATCTATCTATCTATCTATCTATCTATCTATCTATCTATCTATCTATCTATCTATCTATCTATCTATCTATCTCTATCTATCTATCTATCTATCTATCTATCTATCTATCTATCTATCTATCTATCTATCTATCTATCTATCTATCTATCTATCTATCTGTCTATCTGTCTATCTGTCTATCTGTCTGTCTGTCTGTCTATCTCTCTCTATCTTTCTATCTATCTATCTATCTATCTATCTATCTATCTATCTATCTATCTATCTATCTATCTATCTATCTATCTATCTATCTATCTATCTATCTATCTATCTATCTATCTATCTATCTATCTATCTATCTATCTATCTATCTATCTATCTATCTATCTATCTATCTATCTATCTATCTATCTATCTATCTATCTATCTATCTATCTATCTATCTATCTATCTATCTATCTATCTATCTATCTATCTATCTATCTATCTATCTATCTATCTATCTATCTATCTATCTATCTATCTATCTATCTATCTATCTATCTATCTATCTATCTATCTATCTATCTATCTATCTATCTATCTATCTATCTATCTATCTATCTATCTATCTATCTATCTATCTATCTATCTGTCTATCTGTCTATCTGTCTGTCTGTCTGTCTATCTATCTATCTATCTATCTATCTATCTATCTATCTATCTATCTATCTATCTATCTATCTATCTATCTATCTATCTATCTATCTATCTATCTATCTATCTATCTATCTATCTATCTATCTATCTATCTATCTATCTATCTATCTATCTATCTATCTATCTATCTATCTATCTATCTATCTATCTATCTATCTATCTATCTATCTATCTATCTATCTATCTATCTATCTATCTATCTATCTATCTATCTATCTATCTATCTATCTATCTATCTATCTATCTATCTATCTATCTATCTATCTATCTATCTATCTATCTATCTATCTATCTATCTATCTAACAATCTATTCTTTTCTATCTTTCATCGCTGTCTATCCATCTATTGGCACATACACACACACACACACACTCTCTCTCTCATTGTCTCTCTCTGTATGGCTCTCTCAATACCTGAACCGTCATCTCTTCCGCCCCCTCTCCTCCCTCTCTTTCTCCCTTCCTCTACCTTAATACATGTGTGTGTGTGTGTGTGTGTGTGTGTGTGTGTGTGTGTGTGTGTGTGTGAGGTAATAGGAATTTCGCTATATATTATGTTCTCATTCTTGAGCTATATTTCTCTATTTATATGTAAAAATCTATGATATTTCCCAGACAAAAACAGCAGTTAGGATGTGAAGTGTTATAAGTATTTAAAAGATAGATATTTCTAAGACAAAAACAGCAGTTAGGATGTGAAGTGTTATAAGTATTTCAAACAAAGATATTTCTAAGATAAAAACAGCAGTTAGGATGTGAAGTGTTATAAGTATTTCAAACATAGATATTTCCCAGACAAAAACAGCACTAAGGATACAAAGTGCTAGGCTTTCACTTATTCTAGACTAATATTTACAAAGGCCAGGTGACCAGTTACCCTTTTAACTACTTTGCGTAAAGAATTTCCACACAGTTTCGAAAGTTGTCTAGTACCTGTTTGACGAGCTTGTCTAGACACCTGACTGAACTCGTCCCGAAACTGTTAAACTATAAACTAATTTAACATTAATTATTCGCTCTCACTCCTTTCAGGTCCTCGGCGCTTTCGAAGATGACTACCAGGACATCTCGGCCTATATTGTGTATCTACAGTTTTTGCAAAATTTACAGGCAAAGGACAATGGGAAATTCGCTGAAAACAACCATCTTGTCAGCAATCAGTTTTACTCCTGGCGCTGCAGTGTCAATACCATCATGAGGTCTAACAACTTATCTGTGACCCAAATCGTAAACTCAGCAGTGGATAAACAACTGGAATCGTACGCCGCTAAAGACTCGAAAAACCGCTACTCTTTATATTATGTACTCATGAAGAATGCTCAAGATTTTGCAAAGAATAAAACCCTTAAATGGGCCACATACCTACAGACATTGTAACAATTGCTACCGTCTTAATAGCTTTCCCAAATACAAATTAAACTACTGTCTGTTAAAAAATGTTATACTAAATTCTTGCAAGTATCCTCTATGAAATATTTATTTCTTTTACACGGTGTTTCACCTTTTTTCTTTTGTGTGACTTCTAAAACTATATGTGCACATCTTAACATAGATTTAATCATGTAATTCATACTTCAAAGCTTGACGATGTTATAGATATCCAGCATTTGTCTGTACTCATACGCGTTATAAATCCGTAAGTCTTTTTTACACTAAACTTTCAAATTAATATTCTATATGTGGCATTGAAGTTCTTGTTCTTGTGAAATGTGCCAAATATTGCACATTTTCCTAGGAGTCTTTGTCGTTGTTTTGTTGTCATTTAGCACGTCTGTTGTTCTATACGTTGATAAATACTTAAGTCTAAACTTTAAGTTGTATCTATGCACGGGTTTCCCTTTTCCCTCAATGACCTTTCTAGTCACAGCTTGTGTTATGTTAATGTATTTCTTTATATCACTTTGACTCAGGTAACAGGTAACATGGCATGATGTTCATATGGTGAATATACTGCGGTTCACATGAACATAGTTGCATGGAAAAGGATTGGTGAAGAAAAGGGGGGGGGGGGGGGGGGGTCAGGATAAGGAAGAAAATTATTGCACAAAGATACAGAGCGAGCTGAGCTTCTGAGAAGATATTGATTGCATAATGCCATGGCAACAACAACAGTCCTGAAATCCCATGCTTTAATAGTGTCAGAATGTTCTTGTTGCGCGATGGTCTTGCTAGTCACACTCGCCATCGCCATGGGCTGTGATTCCTATGCTCCCTATAGCCTTATGTAACACCATCGCCTGGAAAGAGAGAAAAGTTACAAGTGGCCAAGTGGGGTTAGCCAAAATAATTTTTTTTGCTAGGGCAAACTAATGGGGGGTTAAGTACGGGAAGATGTATGTTAAACTGTTAATTAAGAATCGCCAAGTCATGGTCATTATTACATACATTTCTTTCATTACCACTATAGGCGTCTTAGCCTCGCCAGTTTACAGTCATGTAATTAACGAGCGTGCCATTGGTAGTGATATTTTTTTTTAACAGTAAGGCTATATTAGCCGCAAAGTTATTAATTGTTGCGTGGATAATTTTAAAATTATGATTGCTTTGTGCTGATTATTTTATAAATTTGCTTATTGTACATATCATTATGTAATAAATAGAAAATGTATCCATATTTTTAAACTCGTGAATACAAATATATGTAATTTGCAACACTGGAATGGAAGGAAACTTTGATTCTTTATGACATAATTATTAATATGTAATTCATTAATGTTGTCAGCGAAGTGTAATCAAATTTTTCTCAACAAATTGTGCATCTCTTTAGTTTGCTGAGCAAATAACGTAATTAAAATTTACTGTAATATAAATTTATTAGAATGAACAGTGTTGCAATTTGTTACCGGATATATAAATGTGTATAAACTATTTTGTGTTGTTTTTAAAGAAACTTGTTCACTTGATTGTATATGCTATGTGTAAATTTTTATTTTTTTTTATTATTATTATAAAAAGAAAGAATATATGTTGTTGTGTGATATAATGTTTGCATTGTGCGTTAATCTTTATTTATATGTTAAATGTGTATATGTGTGTATGTGTGTGAGTGAGTGAGAGTCTATCTTAGTATTGATGTATTAAATGATTTACATCATAACAATATCCTCTGAATCAGTATTTATAAATAATAAAATTGAGCAATTTCATTATAAAAATACAGCTCGTGTACTTACCATCAACCAGAAGCCAGTGTTTGTTGAACATTCCTTCTCTTGTTTACCGACCTATTAGTTTATTTTGCATTACATTTGACCATTTTTACGCTAGATTGTTTATAATTTCCATGTGCTTCATAATTATGTATGCAACGGATCAAAAAAAATATTTTTTCAAAAAATTTATGATATTTAGTGTGACGAAAAATTTGCTTGCAAATAAAGTTTGTGTTTAAGAGTATGGTCACGTGAACACATGGATGTTGAATGTTGACACTAAAAGCATTTGTTGAATGTTGACATTAGCTAAATTTGTTGAATGTTGACACTAAGAGCAGTTGTTGAATGTTGACACTAAAAGCATTTGTTGAATGTTGACATTTGCTAAATGTGTTGGATGTTGACACTAAGAGCATTTGCTGAATGTTGACATTAGAAGCAGTTGTTGAATGTTGACATTAAAAGCAGTCGTTGAAGGATGAAACTAAGAGCAGTTGTTGAAAGTTGACACTAAGAGCAGCTGTTGAATGTTGACACTAAAAGCAGCTGTTAAATGATAAAACTAAGAGCATTTGTTGAATGATGAAACTAAAAGCAGCGGTTGAATGATGAAGCTAAAAGCAGCTGTTGAATGTTGACAATAAGAGCAGCTGTTGAATGTTGACACTAAGAGCAGCTGTTGAATGATAAAACTAGGACCAGTTGTTGAATGTTGACACTAGGAGCAGCCGTTGAATGTTGACACTAAGAGCAGCTGTTGAATGATAAAACTGTGAGCAGTTGTTTAATATTGACACTAAGAGCAGCTGTTGAATAATGAAACTAGGACCAGTTGTTGAATGTTGACAACAAGAGCCTTTGGTGATTGATAAAACTAAGAGCAGCTGTTGAATGATGAAACTAAGAGCAGCTGTTGAATGATGAAACTAAGAGCAGCTGTTGAATGTTGACACTAATGGCAGCTGTTGAATGTTGACACTGAGAGCAGCTGTTGAATAATGACACTAAAAGCAGTTGTTGAATGTTGACACTAGGAGCAGCTGTTGAATGTTGACACAAAGAGCAGCTGTTGAATGTTGACACTAAGAGCAGCTGTTGAATGTTGACAATAAGAGCAGTTGTTGAATGTTAACACTAAGAGCAGCTGTTGAATGATGAAACTAAGAGCAGCTGTTGAATGTTGACACTAAGAGCAGCTGTTGAATGTTGACACTAAGAGCAGCTGTTGAAAGATGAAACTAAGAGCAGTTGTTGAATGTTGATTAAGAACAGTTGTTGAATGTTTAAACTAAGAGCAGTTGTTGAATGTTGACGCTAAGAACAGCTATTTAATGTTGACACTAAGAACAGCTGTTAAATGTTGACACTAAGAACAGCTGTTAAATGTTGACACTAAGAGCAGCTGTTGAATGTTGACATTAGCTAAATGTGTTGGATGTTGACAGTAAGAGCATTTTCTGAATGTTGACATTAGAAGCAGTTGTTGAATGTTGACATTAAAAGCAGTCGTTGAAGGATGAAACTAAGAGCAGTTGTTGAAAGTTGACACTAAGAGCAGATGTTGAATGTTGACACTAAGAGCAGCTGTTGAATGATAAAACTATGAGCAGTTGTTTAATGTTGACACTAAGAGCAGCTGTTGAATGATGAAACTAGGACCAGTTGTTGAATGTTGACAACAAGAGCCTTTGGTGATTGATAAAATTAAGACCAGCTGTTGAATGATAAAACTAAGAGCAGCTGTTGAATGATGAAACTAAGAGCAGCTGTTGAATGTTGACACTAAGAGCAGCTGTTGAATGATGAAACTAAGAGCAGCTGTTGAATGTTGACACTAAGAACAAGTTTGACACTGACCAGCTGTTGAATGATGAAACTAAGAGCAGCTGTTGAATGACACTAAGAGCAGTGAAACACTAAGAGCAGCTGTTTGAATGTTGACACTAAGAGCAGCTGTTGAATGAAAACTAGAGCAGCTGTTGAATGTTGACACTAAGAGCAGCTGTTGAATGATGACACTAAGAAATGCAGCTGTTGAATGTTGACACCAAGAGCCTTTGGTGATTGACACTAAGACCAGCTGTTGAATGATAAAACTAAGAGCAGAGCAGCTGTTGAATGTTTGACACTAAGAGCAGCTGTTGAATGTTCACACTAAGAAGCAGCAGTTGTTGACACTAATGGCAGCTGTTGAATGTTGACACTAAGAGCAGTTGTTGACACGAAAAGCTCATGTTGTGAATGTTGACACTACTAGGAATGTTGACACAAGAGCAGCTGTTGAATGTTGACACTAAGAGCAGCTGTTGAATGATTGAAACTAAGAGCAGTTGTTGAATGTTGACACTAAGAGCAGCTGTTGAAATGATGAAACTAAGAGCAGCTGTTGAATGTTGACACTAAGAGCAGTTGACACCTAAGAGCATCTGTTGAAAGATGAATGTTGATTAAGAACAGAATGTTTACACTAAGAGCCTTTGGTGATTGATAAAACAGCTAATGTTGACCAGAACAGCTGTTGAATGATAAAACTAAGAGCAGCTGTTGAATGTTGAAACTAAGAGCAGCTGTTGAATGTTGACATTAGCTAAGAGCAGCTGTTGAATGTAAGAGCATTTTCTGAATGTTTTACCTTAGAGCAGTTGTTGAATGTTGAATTAAAAGCAGTCGTTAGGATGAAACTAAGAGCAGCTGTTGAAATTTGACACTAAAAGCAGCTGTTTGAATGTTGACACACTAATGTTAAAGCTGTTGAATGTTGACACTAAGAGCAGCTGAATGATGAACTGTTGAACTGTTGACACTAAGAGCAGCTGTTGAATAATGACACTAAAATAGCAGCAGTTGATGTTGACAACAAGAGCCTTTGGTGATGATAAAACTAAGGACAGCTTGAAAAACTAAGAGCAGCTGATTGAAGAGCAGCTGTGAATGTTGACACTAAGAGCAGCTGTTAAGAATGTTGACACTAAGAGCAGCTGTTGAATGTTGACACTAATGAAAGCTGTGAATGTTGACACTGAGAGCAGCTGTGAAACGTTGTTGAATAATGACACTACGAGCAGTTGTTGAATGACACTAAGAGCAGCTGTTGAATATTGACACTAAGAGCAGCTGTTGTTAACAGCAGCTTGTTGAATGATGAAACTAGGACCAGTTGACACCAAGAGCCTAAGATAAAACTAAGCAATGTTAAGAGCAGCTGTTGAATTGATGAAACAA